AGATCGCTCGCTCTGCTATCTCGATCTCTCTCTCTCGCATCGATCTCTCTCTCATCTCTCTCTCTCTCTCTCTCTCTCTCTCTCTCTCTCTCTCTCTCTCTCTCTCTCTCTCTCTCTCTCATCGTTAATGTCCTATAACATAATCTTCCTGTGCCAGAATAATGCACTTGAACACATCAAAGCTTTGTGATTGGCCGGCATGACCCCATGTGTCGGGGCGTGGCTGGTGGACAGTGGGCACTAGTTAGCTGACGTTGTCCGTGTCAACAGGAGTGACAGTCCGCACACACACAAGGCTGCAATTATGGCAGAAGCAAAAAAGCCCAAAATATATAATTTTCACTCCGAGTTGGGAGGATGATTATTTTTGTATCTATTCCAATTCAAAGTCCTTCTGTCTCATCTGCAATGCGAGCGTGGCTTTATCGAAGAAGGGTAATTTAGGAGCGGCATTTCAAAACAGTGCACAAACGCTACGAGACGGGATTCCCTCCTAATTCTGCCCTACGCTCCCAAAAGGTGAGGCACCTGAAAGGACAGCTCAATGCACAGCAGTCCATCTTCACCAGGCCCAACAACAAGAGCAAGGCTGCTAGCATAGCATCTCATCGTGTCAGGCTGCTACCATAGCATCTTATCGTGTCAGGCCCAACAACAAGAGCAAGGCTGCTACCATAGCATCTTATCGTGTCAGGCCCAACAACAAGAGCAAGGCTGCTAGCATAGCATCTTATTGTGTCAGTCACGTTTTGCGAAACACATGAAATCTTTCAAAGACGGAGAAGTTGTGAAAGAAGCATTCCTGGAGGCTGCCGACGCACTTTTTGGGGACAGTAAAATAACAGTAGCATTTCAACAGGTTTTTGATATAATAAAAACTCAAGTTAGATACCGTTATTAATCAGCTGTAAGTTTTAGTTTGTTTGAAGTTATTCATTATAATTATTGTACAAAATGGTATAAGAATGCAAACTTAAATTGATTATAGTCTATTATCAATTCAGGTTAAGAAACTAGTGTTGCTTGCATCCTATTTTAAAAGGCATTTCTTTTTATACTCTACTAAAATGCAGCAGATTCCTGTGTAGCTTCAGATCCGAGTTGTCTTATTAGAAAGCCTAATTTATACTTTTGTAGCAACACTATTTGTATATAATGGCAAAGAAAGGGTTCAGAGTCTTTTCTTTTCTCCTGTGTCACATGTGGCAGCACTGTTCAATGTTTCTTGAAAACATTACTGTAGTTTGTGACGTGTGAATAAACTCCAACTCTGTATCAACAACACTGTTGTGTAACTTCAGTTAAATACTTGTATGTGTGTAGATTAAAAAGTGGTAAGAGAAAGGATCTGCAGTATTTGATGAAGTATTCATCGTACAAAGGTCAGTTTTATACAAGTAGAAGTGTGTATTTACCTGGTAGTAGGCTGTCAGTAAGGGCTACGCCTCTCTAGTTGGACTGGTAGATCTCGGCAGACTGGCAACTTTAAAAGTAGCTCTCGGTTCAAAAGAGGTTGGGCACCCCTGTCCTAAACCAACTGATTATGGGCATTCACTCATTCAGTTAAACCAACAAGATGTTGCCATGATCTCAATCAGCCAGTAATGTAGTTGCTCATCAGAAGACCACTCCTCATCACACACAGAGCTTCAGCATCTTCCTCATTTCATCATCACCAGGGTTTAGACTCCACAGGTGGGTCAGTACTCTACTTACGGCTTCACCAGCCCCTTAACATATCTGGTATCACGTTGTTGTCTTATCCACATGAATCAAATTCTTGTAGGCTAAAACATGTGCCTTAGAAATAAGTCTTGTCATATCTGTTGTAATATCCAGTGGTTGTGGTCACTGAAAGGTCATCATTAGATGGGTGTCGGCAGGACAGCAGGGATTTGGGTCATCAGTCCACTAATAACTTTAAATGTGAGCATTTTCCCAGTGATTTTTACATTTTAATTTGGCTCTCAATTTGAGGTCTATCTGCTCCACATGATCAAAATGCTTCAACGTCAGAAATTATAAATTCTCAACACACCAATTTTAGTTTCTTTATATAATTGTTCTGTTTGCTGTTCACACCAGTATCATATCTATCAGTCTTATTACCTTGTGACAAAAACTGCATTGGAGATAAGCCCCGAATATTCGCATCGCTCTAATCGCTCGAGTTTCACCGTGGCTGTCAGCTGTGTTTACTCCTGTCATTCAAACAGGAAGCGCTGGAGAGGGGGCGGGGCTTATATCCATGCAAATACTATGGTAGATACCAACTACAACAAAATGAACATATTTTACGGTGATTTAATTGTAATACACGTTTCAAAATGATGCCGAGGTAACAACATACTGATACCGGTTAGTAAAAACCATGAATTCATGCTTTGACAAGACGGCAGGCGAAACACCTTTTAAAATGCGTGTTTTCTGAATGGAGATCGGATCGATCAGGCTAAGCTAACCTGTGCACTGCAAAAACAGCCCTTCCAAAAATAAGCAAAAATATTCTTGAATCAAGTCAGATGTTCCTGTATCAAGCAAAACAATCTGCCAATGGGGTGAGTCAAATTAGCTTGGCTAGAATTCTTAAAACTAGAATTAAAATCTAGCAACTGAAAGACCGTAATGGGCCTTGGAACTAGACTTGAAATGAGTGTTTTGGTCGAGTTGACTAAGAATGTAAATCTTAAATTAAGTTTAAAAATCAGCAAATAAAGCTTACAATAAGAATTACATTCTTTGATTGGCATAATATATAAGTACATTTGTCTTAAATTAAGACAGCAGAAACATTCGTATTGTTGGTGTGTGTGTGTGTGTGTGTGTGTGTGTGTGTGTGTGTGTGTGTGTGTGTGTGTGTGTGTGTATTGTGAATGTTTTCTTTATTATCATGACTTGCTCTTACCTGTATTCAGTGATGTCGTCTATTGTAAATATGTACTTTTTGTTGTTGGTATATCAATGTCGTGGTATTTTAACTCTTGCTTGTAGGATGCCTATCACCATCAGGCAAAGGGACTATCGGTGAAAACTAGTCTTTTGGCTCATTCGAGTACTTTTACATGGGACAGTGTTTACAATGTCCCTTGTTTTAAATAAATAAATTCAATTCAATTCAATATATGAAATGTAAAATTGGTGTCATTTCATCAGATTCTTGAATTGAAAAGTTGTTTGTCAAAACATTCTCAACAAGATTATTTGACTTTTTAGACGAAATAAGAATTGTTTCCCAGAAACAAGTTTTTTTTACTTTCTTAAAATTCCTTTTTTGCAGTGCAGCTGCTTCGTCCAAACTCACAACAACGTCAAACAGGAAATACGTGGCACGTCCAGTGCTGACCAATCACAAAGCGTAATTTCTTGACTGGCAGCAACATAACCAATCACAGCAGTTCGGCTGGCTCTGTCCAATCATAAACAAGAAGTGTTCTCCCTAAAGGAATACCCTTTCCGTGATTTTGTGAAATGCTGTAGTGTTTTGTGAAATGTTGTTTTGACTTGCACTTCAGGGCCACCGTACATCTGTGTTCAAATTAATGTTGCATTATTACAGCCATAAACAATTGTCCTTTAGCTGTAAAATCAGTTTTAAACACATGAACCATTACTGGTTTCGATTTCAATTTTTTTGAAATAGACCGACACACACAAATACACAGAGAAAAGTAAACTGTACACACTATTTTTTTTCCCTTTTCAACCTGTTATTACTTGACACTTCTTTCATGTCAACAAAGCACTTTGAATTGAATATACTGCAGGTTTTGTGTGTTTCCTGAACACTGAACTCACCCTGGCTGACCACCACCAACACCATGAGAGCGAGAACCACAGTCTTCATGTTTTCACCAGTCTGTACACAACTCTGTGGATGAAAAAAAGCAAAGGTGAAAAGTGTGACAAATGAAAAGCTACTTTTAAGTTGAAGCATTTCAATAAATGCATGTTTGAAAAGAGAACTCAAAGATATCTAACCTTGTATTGTCCCACTGCGTTGTTGATTCTTCTGATCTGTGCTGCCAGGCTGCAAGTTTAGGACTTGTTGAGCAACTGAATCCATCCAGCGTCAATGAAGCCTTTACTTACGGGTTCCAGGGTTAACCTGTTAAGCACCAAGCCTGTTTTTCATGTATCAGGCTCGAAAATGACATGCACAAAACAAATGACTACAACTTAACTTCTAAAAGGGTTATATGAATAATTTCTTTTATCAAAGCAAGATTACATCTGTGAGTTGGATGTAGAAGTGTCAGAATCAATATAGATGTTTTTTATTTTAAAGAAAATTCAGATTTTACAAAAATTATTTTTTACAGATAGTGAAAACTACCCTTGGATGATGGGTTAGTAGACTAAAAGCTTTAGGAATCCAAAGTACAACATATAATAAGTACCCTGTATCAATATTGATGCAAAACAAGTGACATTTGACCTTTTTAGAGAGGTTTAGCCAAAACCACCCCACCTCTGAGGTAATTTGGGTGAAAATGTTTTCTTTTTCATATCTCTGGCCCCCCTTGGTCGATTTTGATGGTTGACACCTCTTTCTTACCGTTAGAGCCAATAGAATCGAAGGGGGAGGCCCCCACACACACACGTTGTGAAGAAAAAAGGTGGGGGCTTTCATTTATAGCGTCGCAAATGTTTATCACTGAGTGTTGAGGTGGGCACCAAACGATTCTGTGTCTCCAGCTGATGTAAAACGAGTGGTTGGCTGTGCATCTAGGATAAGTAATAAGGGAGTTATGAGTGAGTTTAGGTGCAGTGATAGGTTACATTTTTTCGCTCGTGGCTAATTCAGAGGCTGAGTGCTAGCATTGTGGGGTTTTTTTGGAGAAAAAAAATTAAAAAGATCAGTTAGCTGAGTTTCTTCCCGTTACATGGATATAAAACATTCATAGTTTATTAAATATTAAAATTCCTTAGACGTTGTTTCCTGCAAATGACGCGTTTATCTGCCCGGTACCGGGGGGATGGTGCGTAACAGGTTAAGAGCGATGCTGCCACAGACTTGCTTCAAACAAGTCTCCACAGGACCTGGACACGTCTTGGAGGTGCCTCCACATTAACACTTCAACGCTTCACCTGGAAACATTTACAAATAATGTCAAACCATTGTAAAGAATATACAAACCACAAATGATTGTTCTTCTGTTTGAACCAGATATACTGTAATCCTCAATTTGTAGATGAAGAGTTGTTCATTTGGACAATAGAAAACACACAAACATAACGGAGATCAAATAAATCACATAAGTCTATTAACAGATAGAAAGTCAGAAAATAATGACACTTCAAAACATGGATGGCAAACTATATGATCATGACATGATTTAAACAGCGATGCAAATTAGAATACAACATAAACAAAGCAGAACAAAGACAGATAACCTGTTACGCACCGCCCCCCCGGTACCGGGCGGATAAACGCATACACATTAGTCATGCACATTTGAAAAAAGACATCCCACCTTATATTGTCCCGCTGCGGTGTTGATTCTTCAGATGTGTGCTGCCAGAGTGTCAGACTCCTTTTTATTTGGACTTGTTGAGCAATTGATTCAAAGGTTTTAACAAAAAAGGTTTATTTCAAACCAAAGCTCTTCTACAGAGGTCAAAAAACGAAATGACTCTTAACGAGGAAAAACACTAACAAAACAAAATCACTTCAATGAGGAAAAAACACTAGGAGCATAGATAACTAAATTCTCAGAAAACAAGACGTGGCTCAAAGCTCTGCTTGAGATTTGACCTGGCATGATACACTTGTGGTTAGTCACAGGAAACGAAACGAACTGGCACAGGACAAGGGAGACGAGGACAATAAATACACCAGGTAATGGGGAACAGGTGGAAACAATCAGGGGCGGGGTCGACAATCACAGGTGTGGGAGACACACAAGGAAAGGAGGTCAAAGTATCTGAAACGAGAGGGAAGGTTACTATTAAAAGATAAAGGGGAAAATCACTAGACAAAGACAAAAACACTAAACTAAACTAACATAATTTGCGAGAGATGACAATCAAGGCCAGATGTGGATGCTACAATCCCAATGAACCCGCTAATCAACCAGGAAAATATCTAAATATTACAATTCTCTTATTTTAATATTGCTCATGTAAGCCTTACATAGTCAGAGTTATTCAGATGCACGTAGTTTAACTGGATGAAGACACCTGTGAAGCCCATCTAGAAAAACCCTATCATTTGTAGTTGATATAGCAGCATCATTTTATCTTAAGAACATCAACAGATTACACCAAAAATGATAAAGACAGTTTGAAAGTTCATGAATCATTTCTGAACATTTTGATTGTCAACAGATTTCCAGTGCAAAGGTATTTACTGGATTATGTCCAAGAGGCGTGCCTGAACACTGTTTTGCAACAGCAACACACTTGAAGGAAAATGATCAGACAAACAAGGCAACGTTACATTGGGACATCAGAGAAAACAAAAGGGGTGCACAAGCTACAGTTTAACCTTCAGGCAGTCTCTCATATTAAAACAGTGTGTTGTTTCAACCTGATTTGAAAGCTTGATTAGGAATTGGGCGGAAAATGTTCCTTAAGCCTAACTGCCTGTATAACATCTTACTCTCGTCTCTGCAAAGAAAGAAAAGGGTGGAAGTTTGAGATCAGAAAACGTATTGTTCTATTCTGTTTCATAAACCACATATCAGAAAAAACGTAAAGATACCACACCTGGTAAATAGCTTAGCAGAGAGCTATCATTCACTTTGAAATCCTGTAAACACGTGACGCACAAGTTGTCCTAAAAACAAAACAGTTTCCCAGTTGATTTGGCAAATCAAATCAAATCAAATCAAATCAGGTTTTATTTATATAGCACATTTAAAAGCGATTTTTGGTCGAGCCAAAGTGCTGTACATGTAATAAAAACACATTGCTACAAATCACAATAAACGACAATAAATTACAACAGATATATCTTAAAAACAAAATAAAAATAAAAGACACGGAAAAGTCAGGAGTCGTGCTCCGCTCTAACTAGAAAGCCAGAGAGAAGAAGTGTGTTTTTAGTTTAGTTTTAAAAAACCCTAGGGTCTGGGCCGACCTCACAAGGAGGGGCAGAGTGTTCCAGAGCCTAGGGCCAGCTGCTGCGAAGGCTCGGTGCCCTCGGGTTTTGAGCCTGGTCTTGGGCACTACCAGCAGCAGCTGGTCAGCAGACCTTAAAGCTCTGGCTGGGGTGTAGCGCTGGAGCAGTTCAGCTATATAGGCCGGAGCCAGCCCATTTAGTGCTTTAAAAACAAATAAAAGGATTTTAAAATCAATTCTGAACCGAACTGGAAGCCAGTGCAGTGAAGCCAGAATAGGGGTGATGTGGTCGCGCTTTTTGTGGCCAGTCAGCTAACGTGCAGCAGCGTTTTGGACTAGCTGTAAGCGTTTAATTGAGGCCTGGTCCATACCCACATACAGAGCGTTGCAGTAGTCCAGTCTTGAGGTTACAAAGGCGTTAATAACCCTTTCTAAGTCATTAAAAGATAAATACGACTTGGTTTTGGCCAATAGTCTTATTTTAAAAAAGCAGGATTTTACTACGGTGCTGACCTGCTTGTCGAATTTAAAAGTGCTAGTGAAGGTCACTCCAAGGTTCATGACCGAGGGGAGGATGTTTTTTTTGATAGAGCCCAGAATATCAACCGGAGAGGCTGGAGGTTGCGGTCCAAAAAAGATGACCTCGGTCTTGCTCTCGTTGAGGTTGAGGAAGTTTTTGCTCAGCCAGGATTTTATCTCTGCTAAGCAGTCCATCAACTGCTGTAGTGAGTGTGTGACATTTGCTTTGAGAGGCAGATATATCTGTACATCGTCGGCGTAGCAGTGGAAGGGAATGTTATGTTTTGTGAGTATTGAACCTAGGGGCAGTATGTACAGTAGAAAAAGGATGGGGCCCAGAATCGAGCCTTGGGGAACCCCACAGGTAAGAGGGGCTTTGGCAGAGGAGAAGGCACCTAGCTGTACCGAGAAGCTACGGTCTGTCAGGTAGGACCTGAACCATGCAAGGGCAGAGCCTGTGATGCCAGCGGACTGTTCAAGCCGTGACAGCAGGATGCTATGGTCCACAGTGTCAAAGGCAGCTGTCAGGTCTAACAGCACCAAGACAGCTGGGCTACCTGAGTCGGCGGCTAGGAGCAGATCATTAAAAACTCTTAAAAGAGCTGTTTCAGTGCTGTGCATGGGTTTGAAGCCAGACTGAAACTTTTCATGGATTCCATGGATGGTTAAAAAAGACTGCAGCTGGGCGTAGACTACTCGCTCCAGGGCTTTTGATAAAAAAGGTAGCTGGGAGATGGGCCTAAAATTTGCGAGAATGGAGGGGTCGAGATTTTTCTTTTTAAGGAGTGGCTTAACCACGGCATGTTTGAAGGCAGCTGGGACACATCCTGAGTTAAGAGAGGTGTTTAAAAGTAATAAAATACTTGCTCCAACTGATTCTAAAACATCTCTGAGAAGGCGAGAGGGAATGCTGTCTGAGGTGCAGTTTGTCGGCCGCAGGTGCTTGACTACATCCGAGAGAGAAGAGAGGGATACAGGCTCAAAGTGGTCGAGGACAGCAGGGCACAGAAAAGGAGCAGGATCTGGGGTAGCACTAGTGTGGGCTAGCCTAAGAGCAGATACCTTTTCAATAAAAAATGTAAGAAACTTATCACAGAGAGTAGTCGATGGCACAATAGAAGAAACATCACAGGGATTAATGATCGAGTTGAGGACATTAAAAAGAACCTGAGGTTTATGGCTGTTTTTGGAGATTAACAGAGAAATGTGCTCTGTTTCGGCTGCTTTGACTGCCGTCTGGTAGTCAGAAAGGCAAGCACGAAGGATTTCTAGGGAGACATGGAGTTTATCCTTTTTCCATTTTCTCTCTGCACGCCTGCAAGCGCGTCTGAGAGCACGAGTACAGTCATTGAGCCACGGCTCTGAGAGAACTTTGGTGCGTCTAAGCGTAAAAGGAGCAACAGAATCCAGTGTTAGGGTACATGTCGAGTCAAAGATGGAGATAAGCTCATCAGCATTAAACACACAGTTCACATCTAATTTACAGATCGGAGAAGCATTAAAAACATCAGAGAACTGTGAGGCAGTCAAGGGGTTAATCGAACGCAGACGATGCGCCGGGGCACGTGATTCGACTCCTGCGGAAGGGATGGAGGTTGTAAACAGAACCGGTAAATGGTCTGAGATACGCGTTGCTGCACATATTTCATCCACAGATACAGATAGTCCAAACGATAATACTAAGTCCAAAGTGTGTCCTTTTTCGTGTGTTGGGCCACGGACTGAACGAGACCAAAAGAATCAAGGAGATTTAAAAAGTCCCTAACCAGAGGTTTGGACTCGCAACACACATGGACATTGAAGTCTCCGGAGATCAAAACACGATCATATTTCACCATGATCCCGGACAGAAAGTCAGAAAAGTCATTTATGAAATCCTTATTACACTTTGGCGGACGATACACGACTGCGCAGAGTATAGGCGAGGCCGGGTTCAGTTCAAAAAGCTGCAACTCAAAGCTGGCATAGCTAGATACAGGGTGAAGCAATCGGCATTGAAGGCTAGCTCTAAACACTGATGCTATGCCCCCACCATGGCCAGTGGCACGGGGGGAGCTGAAGAATGTACAGTCAGGAGGAAGAAGTTCAGAGAACGGTGTATACTCGCCAGCGTGGACCCAGGTCTCCGTCAAGAACATAAAATCCAGTTCACGAGAGGTGAAGAAGTCGTTTAGCAGGAACGTTTTGTTTGCTATCGACCTAGCATTTAGCAAAGCCATGCAAAGTTTTCGCTCCGGGCTTGCCGAAGGTGTAGTGTGTCTCAGCTGACGAAGATGTGCGTGTTGAACGCCGCGCGGGCCGGGAGCAGTCAGTCGGGCAGGAGGAGCTGCCAGCGGGCCCCTCAGAGTCCGGAGCTCCGGAAAAACGGGGCGAATCCACCGATCCCTCACGTGGTGTGCATCGGGAGGGCCATGACATCCGAGGCGTGGATAATTCACAGAAGAACCCGTCAGGTATGCCTTAAGATGGACCAGTGCACCACCACGCTTTCCCCGTCGTCGAAAGCGCTTTCGGCGAGGCAGGATGCAGTGTGACCGGCGTAGGTAAGTGGGGATATCCGACAGTAGAGGGGGGGGGGACGATTTATGGTTGCCAGATGTAGGTTTGGGCAGCAATATCAACTCCAGTGAGGGTCTGAGATGGAGGAGAGCTTGGCGATCATAAACGAGCAGAGCAGAGACATTCTGACAAACATAAAACAAAAACAGGATAGCTAAAGGTAGAGAGCTGAGCGAGCGGCGAGCCGACACAGGCGCCATCTTGAATCACGTCACGTCACGTCACTATGAAGGACGTGGCACACTGTCCTTCATAGGGCAGTATACTGTGGTGTTGCAACACGGACCTGTTAGTGAGGGTACCGTGTTGTGGTATTCATGCTAGCTTGACAGTAGCAACGAGCAGATGTACCTACCTTGTCTTGTAACAAATGGAAAATAAAGTGTGGAGTTCCATACTGAACACACCGCCTCTGACTCCCTTTCATCGGCTCTACACTGGTGGCCCTGACTTTTTCGTGATAGTTTCCGAAGACTTAATGAACATGGCTGATCGCGATGTTTATGTTAAACTGCCGGAGTTTTGGGAACATGCCGCTGTGGCATGGTTCGCACACGTGGAGGCGCACTTTGCCTGCCGCCAGGTCCGTGACGGGGACCTGAAATATTTTCACGTGGTGGCGGCGCTGGGGAGCTCCACGTCGTCCAGGTTGGTTGGATTTATCGCAGACCCCCCACGCCATGGCAAATATGAGGCGATTAAGGCTCTTCTCCTTAAGACATTTAGCTTATCTGCTAAGGAGAGGGCTCGCCAGATTTTTGAAATTGGAGACAGCAAGCCATCCCAGCTCATGG